ATGGAGGTTTTTCCATAAATTGTGGAATATTGGCAACATGATCAGAAAAATATGGTGTTCTTAGATATTTGTCTATATAGTGTGCTGTCATGTTTACATTCTGAAGCCAATTAGTATATAAAAATGTAGTATGTGTAAATTTAGATCCTTACTCCCTAAGAAATAATTCCTAATACCTTTTAACAAGCTATAGTATAGTTAATGAAACATAAACTGTAGGGTCCCCCATTTGCACAGTTCCTGTACACATTCCAGAAGGGGTTCTAACAATTTTGTATTCATAATTTGGATTATTTTTCTTTAAAAGGAGCCAATGCAAATTGTATACACTACAAAACCTACAGATCCCAGATTTCTTCCTTAGAGTGAACTGTGGATTATTAGATACCCTTCTTAGCACCATGAGAATTAGTGAATGCAAGAAAAAAGTGCTAAAGAGATGTTTTCCTCTCAGATTCACATACTTGTGCACTGTGCAGCTGGGTGCTTGTGGTGGGAGGTAAGGAGGTGGGTATCATTCAAAACCTATGAGAGCAGCTCTTACGGAAGATTTTGTCTACATCAGGGGTTCCCAACGTGGGACACACGCTCCACAGGGGGACAGTTTGATTTTTAAGGGGGACAATTCCAGACTGAGTTATTAACAGTGAATTTTTTGTACTTCTTATGGTTCTAGGGGCCTCATATACAGTATATAAATATTTACTGTGACATATTTATGCACTTTAGTTCTTTATTATTTTTTTTAAACTTTGCTATTTTTATATCACTTCATATTCTTATTTTTTCTTAACAATTTCTTAATGATTTCTTCCTCAATACTTCAACTGTCCTTTCGTTCTTTTACACTGAGTGGCCAGATTATTATGATCTCTGAGCACACAATAATCTGGCCACTTAGTGTATATCCTATATAATAAAAGGCTAATATGCAAATTGTCCCCTTGACCAGGAGTTTGACCAGCAGGCAGGCCAGTCAAATGCCAATGTGCCCTCCCCATGGACAGGCTGGCCGGACCCCACCCATGCACACATTCATGTACCTGGCCTCTAGTTATACTGAGTGGCCAGATTATTATGCTTTCGGAGATCATAATAATCAGGCCACTCAGTGTATTTTTCTCTTTCATAGATGCCATGTTCTTTGGAAGCTTGTTTAAACCAAGTTAATAGCCTTTTAGGCTTCCTCCATGTGGATAGGAGTCACTTTTTGAATAATAAGAAGTATATGTCATGGGAAAGAGGGGCATCAGGATTTTAGAGATGCTTAGGTGGGGCATGGCCAGAAAAGGTTGGGAACCACTGGTCTAGAATGAGCCCTGACTTTTGTTTACTTTTGTCAAGAATGGAGGGATGAAGAAAGGGAAGAGTGAAAGAAACCCTACTCTTAAAAGTCCCAGGGACTGTCAGGGCTACTTAGGTATTTGCCATCTCTATGATATTAACCATTTTCTTGTGTATAAATTAGGAAATGCCATTAAATATCCTTTTACTAAAACTTTTGTCTTGTTGATCAGTTATCTTACTCAAATCTTCTTTTTCACTATTTTGGAATTGTGTAACATGCAAATGTTGACAAGTATTATAACAATTATGTGGGTTGGGAATCTTCTCAATGTCAGATTGAGAGCTTATTTTTGGTCTGCATTCATAGAAGAAACTAGGAAATACAATCTCTCATTTAATTTGGGTGAATGGGAAGTAGCTCTCTTTTATTAATTCCCAAGGATAAAAACAAATTTTATAAACAAACACATTCTGACTAGCTCTGTGGTTTTAGTTTTATCACAGTTCATAACTTTCCTGAAAAGTATTTAAATGACTATTTGGAAGATGGAAAATCCACTAGGAAAAGATTTTTTTAGTCCAGAAAGTATTTTTTTTAAAAAATAGTTTCCATTGGAACTGCTTCTCTGAAAAAAAAAAAAAAAAGTTACTGGAATTATTTTTTTTTAATTTTTATTGCTAAAACCATTTACTTCTGAGAAGCCTTTCTTGACCTCATCTGAGTTAGAAGTCTGTTTCCCCTAGAATTCCTCTTCTGTAGTAACTTGCAAATAGTTCTATTTGGCTTACATTAAGAATTTCACCAACAACAATGAATAAGATACCCTATGCTAAAAGCAGTGGAAAATATCCTATCTAATAAAGAGGGAATATGTTAATTGACCATCACTCTGTCACAAAGATGGCTGCACCCACTGCTGAGGCCAAGTTCTCACCAGGAGCTTTAACGAGCAATCAGCAGAGACCTGAGGCTATGCCCTCCCCTGCCCCCATGGGGCCTGACAGGGGACCTCAGGCCACGTCCCCCACCTGCAGGGCTTGACAGGGGATCTCAAGCTGTGTCCCCCACCTGGTGGGGCTTGATGGAGGACCTCAAGGCATGCCCCCTGTCCCAATCTGGGCTGGGGGACCTCAGGGTATGCCCCCTGCCCAGCGGAGAAGGGTGGGACTGGCTGGGTCTGGATCTAGCCTAATGGTGGCAGGACAGCCGGGTCTGGGTCTCGTGCAATTTTGAGGTGCATGTGGGTGAGCTGGGACTTGACTCTGGGTCCCGTGGTGCGCCCCAGACTCTGACAGGAGGAAGGTTTTCTTATACATTTTACTAATTTTCTTTCATCTCTGACACTTCTACTATAGAGAAAGGGCAAATTGCAATATTAAATTATTTCCTCTAATTAATCCCCTTTTAATGTGCACAAATTTTGTGTACTGGGTCCTAGTAGTGTTATAACCTGACTAGAGGTCTGGTGCACAACATTCGTGCACTGGGGGTGGGGTCCTTTAGCCCAGCCTGCACCCTCTCGAAGTCCAGGACTCCTCAGGGGATGAGGAGCTTGGGAGGGTAATGGGGGGGGGTGATATGTAATACCTTAATCAATAAAGAAGTTTTAAAAAAGAGCTAGTTTGCAGAAAAATAGTGGTGATAAGAATCCATTAGGGAGAGAGGAGGAGAAAATAAGGAAAGAGTAAGAAAGAAAGAAAGCACGAGAGAATTCTAGCACTAGCTCTGTTCATTGACTTGCTAGTTCCCAGTTTTAATACAAGGTGGCCCCAAAAATGTATACGCACAATGTCTGTAGAGTCTATTACATTTTAAAAATGAAATGTATTTTAATAAACTGTGCCTTTCATAATTATTCCTAGTGTGTATACATTTTGGGGACACCCTGTATTTATTGAAACTTAGTTTTCCTTTTTCTTTTCTTTTTCTTCTTCTTCTTCTTCTTTTTTTTTTTTTTTTTTTTTTTTTTTTTTTTTTTTTTGTCAGGTAGGGGTGATGATGAGATGACATTTAACAGAAAGAAGATTTTATGTTCACTTTGTTTAAGGGTCCCTGAAGAAATCACTTCTGGAACCTCTCTTTCATCCACTGTACTATTAATAGATGGCGATCACAATTTTAACATCCTATGGGTATAAAATATCTAAGGACCTTAGCCAAAACGTCCTCACATAGACTTTCATCTCATTCTGAAGGAGAATTGGTATGCATTGGGTAAAGATCTTATTGCCTAAGATCTGGAACTTAAATTTGCAGTAATTCCTAATACTTGAGCACATGCACTTTTCTTCCTGATTCCGCAATAAGGGACAGGAAGTGAAAAGGGGAACATTCTTCGTGCTCAAGTTAAGTCAGAGACTCATTTAAGATAGACATTAGAGCAGAATAAATGTGGAAAAGTAAGATGATCACCAAATTTGAACCTGAACTGATCTGCATTTAATGTCCTACCGAGGTGTGAAAATACTGTCCTCGGAGAATTAAACCAACAACTCACCTTTTCTATATTATGCCTATTATCATAAATTTGGCCCAAGTACAAATAATATTAATATTTAGTATCTTTATGTGTGTGTATATATATATTTAAATATGTTCAGACAACCCATATACCAATTTTTCAGAAAGGATCTGATTGTTTATATGACAATGAGTATGTCCTCAAGTAGGCTATAAACTCCATGAGGAGAATCCCTTTAGTATGACTCTTCTGCCCCCCACTTCAGTCACTTTCTTTGGAATATGGAAAAGGTTGTAAGTGCTTCCTTCACTAGCATGCAAGCATTCATTCATACATTCATTTAACAAACATTTTATTGAGCACCTAGTATGGAATTTAGCAAGGTCTGGCGAATTCTAAGGTACATGCCCTTTAGACAGTTTCTTTCTCAAGAAATTCACAAGTCGGACACACAAATAATTATTTAAGTACTTGTGCAATTTTAGCGTGATGCGTAGAAGTATTAAGAAAGCACAGAAGAGAAAGCAAGAGTGGGGCGGTTGTTGGGGGGAAGTTTCCAGAAGGAGGGGACACTAGCCAGGCCAAGTGTGGGCAGAGGCTGGGGAGAAGAGGAGAAGAGGAGTGAGGAATACAAATTTCAGAGCCCCTTCCCTGTTCCCTGGGGCGGGGGGATAGAGGAGAGGGGGCAATGTTAAAATATGTACACAGATAATAATTTAATTAAAAAATGTAAAAGAAAAGAAAAAAGACTGAAGTTCAAAGTTAGACTAGGATCCCTCCCGCACTTCGAACTTAGGAACTGAGAACTGAGGGCAAAAAGCCCGGGCTGAGGAGCTGGAGTCTGGCCCAGCAGCTAGACCCCTCGGCGGGGCGGGGCCAGCAGTGCGTGCGCCCCAGCAGCCCGGCCGGTCCCGCCCCCAGGGGCTGGCGCAGGCGTACGGCGCTGATTGGCTGTCCGCCGGCCTCGGCCCTCCTGTGATAGGCGGCGCAGGGCTGCTAGCCGGGCTCTGATTGGCTGGCGGGGCGCGGAACGGACATAGCCCGTGGCGGGTCGTCGGGGAGACGAGAGGGACGGGAGCGGGGCGTTAGGCCGCGCGGGCTGCGGGGGCTGCAGGCTGCGGCCGTTCGGTGAGGCGGGAGGCGGGGCCCGGGCAGTTGCGGGGCCGGGCGCGCGGGCTCCACGCCGCGCCGCGTGAGGCGCCTGAGCGAGCGGCCGACGGCGGCAGTGGCCGGAGCCCCTCAGCCCGGACCATGGGCTGCTTCTTCTCCAAGAGGCGCAGCTCCCAGAAGGAGTCGCCGCCCAAGGGCGCGGAGGAGCCGCCGAAGCAGTACAGCTGGGACCAGCGCGAGAAGGTAACGGGTCCCCCTCCCCCGCCCGCCCCGCACGGGTCCCTGGTGTCCCGGGAGGGCTGAGGGGAGCGACCGAACAGCCGGCTGCCTCGCTCTCCCTCCCCCGCCCTCCCTGAGGCATTGGAAGTCGGGGTGACTGACTTTGGGGGGGATCCAAGGAATAAGCGCCGGAGGGGGCGCCGCGGCTGAGCCGCTGGCCAGGAAGATGCCCGGTGAACTCCCTCCCGGAGGCTCGCCCTCCGCTCCGCAGCCTGGGGTCCCGGGACGGACTCCTGAGGAGGGGGGAGCCGCGATGCTCACATCCGCTCCTTTCCGGGGCAGCGCCGGGCGAGGGGGGTTTGGTCGGGTCCCCGAGTCACACCCGGGACTGGTTCCCCCCTGCTCCGCGGCTTCTGATCGCCCCGGGGCCGCTTTCTCTCTGTGCGAGGGCCCCTCTCGTCAGTTTCCCGGCGGGATTTTCTCACCCGGCGCGGCCGCCGCCCCCTCCGCCCCCCAAAGGCGGGCTGGCCATCGCTGCAGCCCTGGGCAGTGATCGGCAAACTCATCCGTCCACAGGGCCAAATCCCAACAGTCCAACGGCTGCCATTTCTTGGGAGAGCCACGTTTTTTAAACTTAAACTTCTTCTAGCGCCGCTGCTTCAGCATAGACGCGCCCAGGCCCTGGCGTTTTGTGGAAGAGCCGCACTCAAGGGGCCAAAGAGCCGCGCGTGTGGTTCACGAGCCGCAGTTTGCCGACCACGAGCTTGGGGAATGTGTGTCAAGACTGGATAACCAGCAGGAACCAGGCAGAAGGGCTGTTGCTGGAAATGAATGAAAAACCTTCCCCTTTTGATTCCAATAGAGAGGCAGAAATTTTTTTTAAATTTTGCAAAGGTCCCCTTTTGCACAAAACGCACTTAGTCATACATTTCATAATGCTTCTTCCGCTTTCTACATAGTTCTCCATTTGTGTTTAATAAAATACTTTAATGGACTTATCCATTTTTTTTTCCTTCCAAACAAAATGAGAGGTTTTTGTTTTAAATGGGTGTTAGGAAGTTCACTTCTCCCTTGGTAATGTCGCATATCTTGATCCGCAAATGCTTTATAGTCGATTTCTTGTCAATGTTTTGATTTCGTAGACCTGCCTGTGTGGTTTCAATCCCCAGAAGAATTTGTTCATGTGACCTCTGTTCTCCAGGTGCCAGATTTAAGAAAGTGATGCTTTTTGCAGGCTGCTCAGCCCCATATTTCTGCTCCTGTCTTTCCAACTGTTCCCGGGTTTCATGGTGTATTTATTCTCTCTTATCTTTAATTATAGCAGCATTTTATAATAGAGGCATGGAAAGTAACGTGCTTCCTGTCGTGCTAGAAGATTGTACCTGTGGTTTAAAATTATCGGTGGGCATTTTTAAAGACTCATTTCCTCAGCCTTAGCATTTTTCTAACAATGCTGGTTAAGCTCAGCTGTCTACCATAGAGAAGGCCGTGAATTTGTTTTTATTGTAGCTTTTTGTTTTGAAATCATAGGCCAGTGGTCGGTAAACCGTGGCTCGCGAGCCACATGTGGCTCTTTGGCCCCTTGAGTGTGGCTCTTCCACAAAATACCACGGCCTGGGCGAGTCTAATTTGAAGAAGTGGCCTTAGAAGTTTAAGTTTAAACAATGTAGCTCTCCAAAGAAATGTCAATCGTTGTCCTGTTGAGATTTGGCTCTGTGAACTAATGCGTTTGCCAATCACTGTCATAGGCCAAAACTAGTTTTGTTTTTTATTTAGAATCATCCTGCTTGCCCTTTGAGTCATTACTTCATAACAAATTGTTTTACAATTAAACTTCATTAACATGATGGTCCGTTACTTGGAATCTCACTTTTAGTTAATTGCTCCTTTCAGATAAATGGGTGTGATCTGTGTTTTTTTTTTTTTCTTTTGCTCTTTGACTAAGTAAGCAAACTCATTGGAAATAGAAAAGGCAATGCCAACATCTGAGCTTTCCCCCCCAAAATGAGCAGATAGTAAACTTCCGGTTGTAGACCTTATTTTGCGTTTACAGGGGACATTCTTTGGAACACTACCAGGTGCTTTAGTTGTAGAGATGTTACTCAATATGGAAAATCAGCTCATGCTTCTGGGTATGTTTATAGTAAAAGTTAAAATCTTGATCAACTCAACTAATCACAATTTTTTTAAATGTGCCTTCGATTCTGCAACCCAGCCCAGTTTTAAAATCTTTTGGACTATTAGAGGAAGAGAATTACTAGCTTACATTTCAAGATGATGGAGACACCACCATTTTTTCAACACTTATAATAGCCTGCTCCATTTTATGTGATTTAAAGATTTTTTTTTTCTATTATAGTTTCTTACCACTCATGAGGCCGGTTTGGGCTAGTGTGCAAGTGTTCTATATTAGTCTAATGATGATTTTACTAAGGTTAACATTCTTTTTCTTGCTCTCGGAAGATTTTAACTGGACCTTCAAAGCAATCGAATGCAAATACAGCCCACAGAACATAAAGGAGACACTGCACAAATATTAACAGAATTGTTTGTATAATGTGATCGTGGAGCAGAGCATCTGCAGTTTTAAAATTATATCAGACAGTGACTGTTCAGCTGGCAAGACTTGAAGTGTAAGAACAAAATGTGGTGCCTAAAAAGTTTCCCCACAACTTGGAAAAAGCGTGTTTAACATTTTCCTTGTGCTGTGTAATCAGAGCATCTTTACTGGGAGGCACCCTCTGGGTTTCGGGTTTTGAGTTGTGTAATTGGGCCAGTCTTAGGGGACTGGAGCTAGGAGAAATGGTCTCAATTAGAAAGAATGTTTGTGGACTAAGTGTTGTCATGGTGACTGATACTGTAATCAAGCATGTAAGAAGTTCATTTTCTATTGCTGCTGACTTCGGAGGAAAAAACTACAGTTGCTAGACATAGTGAGAAATACTTTTGGATGGTAAGGTGTGTTTAAATCTTTGGGGAAGAAATGCTTTTATCCTTGTTCTCTGTATGCTGCCTCCCATAGCGACACAAATTCTTCAACATGTATATGTACTCAAATACCAAGGAAGAATCAAAATTAGAATTACCCTGCCCTTGAAGAGCTGACTAGCTTTTTTGAGTTGAAATCTTTTAGTACAACCAGAGGGAAGAGGAGTGGAGTGGTACTGCAGCTCGAGAGCCACATGCAGCTCTTTGGCCCCTTGAATGTGGCTCTTCCACAAAATACCACGGCCTGGGCGAGTCTATTTTGAAGAGGTGGCATTAGAAGAAGTTTAAATTTAAAAAATGTGGCTCTCAAAAGAAATTTCAATCGTTGTACTGTTGATATTTGGCTCTGTGGACTAATCTGTTTGCTGACCACTGTTCTAGATGATAGAAATGATGGCATAAGTATGAAAATTGTGATTCTGAGTATGGACAGCACGTCTTGTATCCATTACATCTGTCTCATATTCTATAGGAACTAGAAGCCCGGTGCATGAAATTAGTGGACTCAGGGTCCCTCATCCTGGCCTCCGCCCTCTTGCAATCCAGGAGCCCTCAAGGGATGTCTGACTGACGGTTTAGGCCCACTTCCCAGCTCAGAGCTTCTGACTGAGCTGCACTCCCCCTGTGGGAACACACTGAACACCAGGGGGCAGCTCCTGTATTGTGCTTCTGCCCCCTGGTGGTTAGTGTGCATCATAGCGACCGGTTGTTCCACTGTTCAGTTGATTTGCATATTGGCCTTTTATTTATTTATTTATTTTTACTTCTTTTAAAAATATATATTTTATTGATTTTTTTACAGAGAGGAAGAGAGAGGGATAGAGAGTTAGCAACATCAATCAGCTGCCTCCTGCACACTCCCCACTGGGTATGTGTCCACAACCAAGGTACATGCCCTTGACCAGAATCAAACCTGGGACCCTTCAGTCCACAGGCTGACGGTTTCAGCTTGGTCTTTTATTGTATAGGATAGAATAATACTAAACAAAAGCCTTATACCAGAGATTTAAGTAACTGCGTTTTCTTATTCAGTGTCTGTTATGAAACTTGGGATAAGGCAGCCAATTTGTGCATTTCGTGTCCCGTGGCTATCACATGGACAGTGCTAAAGATTTCTCTGCTATTTAATAAAGGCCTGTCCTTAGGAAGAGGGAGGAGACAGTCATGGTTACCCCTGAAGGTAGAAATAGACCAGAGGTGGGGAAGGACAGAATTGGTCTTAACATAAGGCCGTTCATAATCCGCTGAGCTGTTCCTCGGTGGGAAGTGTGGCTTTTTGAGGAGCTGACCTCCATGTCAGTGAAACATTCAGATCAGAAAGAAGTGACTGCATCGAGTGGGGGGCTAGATGCTGTTTTGTTTTTAGCCTTTTAAGCACATAAGGTGTTCTGGTTATCCACTGCTGTGTACCAAACCACTCAAAAGTTAATGGCTGAGGATAATGGCAAGTACCGGTACTAACTTTTTCACAGCTCTGCAATTCGTGTGGGGCTTATGAGGGTTGGCGCTCTGCTCTCTGTGGCATCAGCTGGGGCAGCTTGACTAGGGGCTGGAAGATCTGCTTTCAATATGGCTTAATCACAGAGCTGGCCAGCAAGTTGCTGCTGGCTTTCAGCTGGGAGCTCAGCCGGGGCTGAGGGCGAGGGGCCTCATCGGGTACCCTAAGGTTCTGCACAGCATAATGGCTGGGATTCAAGGGCAGGCGTCCTAAAGAGAAACTGGTAGAAGCTGCATGGCTTTTTCTACCTGGCCTCTTCAGTGAAGCTATTTCTACCATAAATGAGTGTCAGAGAATTTAACTACTTTATTTATTTTTTAAATATATTTTATTGATTTTTGTACAGAGAGAAAGGGAGAGAGATAGAGAGTTAGAAACATCGATGAGAGAGAGAGAGTCATCGATCAGCTGCCTCTTGCACACCCCCTACTGGGGATATGCCCTTGACCGGAATCGAACCTGGGCCCCTTCAGTCCCCAAGCCGACTCTCTATCCACTGAGCCAAACCGGTTTAGGCGAATTTAACTACTTTAAATCCTTTACATAAAGTTGTGTTTTTTAAAGGAAGTAGATAGTTCTTTGTTTATTCATTTTAAAATAGCTTTATTGAGAGATCTGTAGCTCATATACCATACATTTCACTCATTCAAAGTGTATTAAAATTCATTATGTTAATAAGTGCACAGGGTTATGTTAGCATCACTATGATCTAATTTTAGAACATTTTTATCGCTCACAAAAGAAACCCGTACCCACTCTCCTTCTCTCCAGCCTCTGTAAGCCACACTTTTACTTTTGATCTCTGTGGCTCTGCCTGCTTTGAACATTTATAAATGGTATAATACAATATGTGGTATTTTGACACTGGCTTCTTTCAATTAGCATGTTTTTGAGATCATTATATTGTAGCATGTATCAGTACTTTATTCCTTTTTACTTAAGCTGAATGTCATTCTATAGAATAGATAGTTTATGCATTTATTCATAGATCAGTTGATAGGCAGTCAGGTTGTCTCTACCTTTTAATTTTATTATTTTGTTGTTGTTAATCCTCATCCAAGGATGTTTTTTCCATTGATTTTCAGAAAGAATGGAAGGGAGGGAAGGAGAGAGAGGAAGAGAGAAACATCAATGTGAGAGAGACACATCAATAGGTTGCCTTCCCAACATGCCCCAACCAGGGTTGAGGATGGAATCTGAAGCTCAGGTATGTGCCCTTGACTGGAAATCAAGCCAATGGCCCTTTGGTGGCTCAATCAACTGAGCCACTCCTGCTAGGCCAAACTGTTTCTCAAAGTGTCTATATGATTTTACATTTCCACCAGCAGCATTATAATTTCTTCACTCATATAATTTTTTAAAATATATTTTATTGATTTTTTACAGAGAGGAAGGGAGAGGGACAGCCTAAACTAACCGACTTCATAAGTGACTCTTCAGAAAAAGGTAGTTTAAAACATGGCCTTTCCATGTTTGTGATTTTAGGCACTTTGAGAACTAGTAACTTTTGAAACATGCTACTAAGATTAAGGTTGTTAATTACTTTTATCCTAAAGAACTTTGAATAATTGTTCAAAAGGTACAGCAATGTAAGTCCTAAATTTCTTCTTTATAGACCAAATTGAGAGTCCAGATAATTTTATACTATAGAATTCTTTAGCTATAGGATTAATTTCTCTCCACGAACAAGAACTGAGGTGTCCAAAGAAAATTCTTAGAAGAATAGTAAATTACATTAAACTCCTCAGCCTTGGACCGAATGTTTTATGGCCTGTATGTTTCTGTCCCCACCCTCCAAATTCATATGTAGAAACCCTAACTCCCAGTGTGACTGCATTTGGAGAGGAGGAAGTAATTAAGGTTAAGTGAGGTCCTAAGGGTGGGGTCCTGATCTGATAGGATTAGTGCCCTTCTAAGAAGAGACATTAGAGAACTTGCCCTGTACCCACCATGTGAGGATATAGGAGGAAGGCAGTCCTTTTCAAGCCAGGAAGAAAGTCCTTACCACAAACCAACCCTGATGGTACCTTGATCTTGAACTTCCCAGCCCCCAAAAATGTGAGAAATAAATTTTTGTTATCTGAGTTACCTAGTCTGCGTTATTTTGCTATGGCAGCCACACATAGTCAGCTTGGGATTCTAAAACAAAATACCATAGGTTGCGTGGCTCAGACAACAGAACATTTTTTCAAAGTTCTAGAGGTTGGGAAGTCCAAGATCAAGATGCCAGTAGATCAAGTGTCTGGTGTCAAAAATTAATACATCCTCATGCTACAGACCAGTGTTCCTTCTAATACATTATGTAAAACTGGACAAGTACCATATTTATTGTGCAATATTGAGTAAATAACTTTAAAATAGTTTGCTAATGATTACAGTGATTAAATTATTGGATTTTTAGTACTGTATCTATGGGAGCCCGTTTTTTTGGTGCATGAATAGTTTTGCATAAAATTTATATACCCACAGAGAGGTAAGACAGTGCAAGTAGATTCTAAAGTAACTTGGAAAAATGGCCTTTTAGTGACTATATTGATAGGCCAGTTAAACTTTTAAAAAGTAATCTGATTCCAGGCTTCCTGTTTATAAAATTATGTGAGCTTTAGATTAGAGTATCTAACGATAGAAATGGTGGCATTTGAAAAATTACATTGTAGTAATCATCATATATAATAAAAAAGTAATATGTAAATTGACCCTAATGGCAGAACGATCTCTGGACCAGTCACTGTGAGGCACACTGACCACTTCTTGGTCCCTTTACCCGGCCGGCAGGCTCTGATCACCATGGTGGGGTGGGGCCAGCGAACAGGTGGATGGGTGGGGACAGCCAACCTCTTGGTCCCTTCCCCTGGCTGTCAGGCACCGATCACCGGATAGTGAACAGGGAACTGGGGGTGGGTGGCAGTGGGGGCAGGGCCAGCTGCGGGCAGCTGGGGAAGATGGCCCTAATTGCAGGCCAGGCCTAGGCAACGTACTCACGCACGAATTTCACACGCCGGGCCTCTAATAGCTCAATATTTGACTCAAACGTGTACCTTCAGGTTCTTCCATTTTCTGGAATATATTGCATAAATCAATCAGGGTTTAGAAACTAAGACCCATTCATCAATTTATGGAAGGGTAGAGAAATATATTTCAATCTGGATGTACTTCCAATTTCAGAAATTTTTGAAGAAGCCTGAGTTTTAAAAGTAAAGCATCAGAAAAAGAAAAAGGGTCAGGCTGGGCCAGTATGGCTGTGTTTGAAGTCAACCCATGGTCAGGGCACATGCCTGGGTTTTGGGGGCATGCAGGAGGCAGCTGATCAGTGATTCATCATTGATGTTTCTATCTCTTCCTCCCTTACCCTTCCTCTTTCTGAAATCAATTTTTAAGAAAACATATTAAAGAAAAAGGTCAGAGTTGCAATACCCCTTAATATCACCCAGTATTCTGTGTGTATGTTTGAGAATTTCTTCAGTTGTTTAAAAAAAAAAAGTGTTTTTACAGTTGGTATGTTGAAACAGGATCCAAATACTGTCCACACATTGGTTGATATATCCTTGAGTCTTCCTTTATAAGTTTCCTCCTCTGTTTTCTCCTCATGCCTTTTGAGAAAAATTGTTCTATTCATTTTTCCAACTATGCTACAGTCAGTGAGAATAGGAAGTATTATTTCAGTACTAAGCATTGTGCCTTGCTGGGACCGGTTTGGCTGCCGGGACCGGTTTGGCTCAATGGATAGAGCGTCGGCTTGGGGACTGAAGGGTCCCGGGTTCGATTCCGGTCAAGGGCATGTACCTTGGTTGTGGGCACATCTCCAGTAGGGGGTGTGCAAGAGGCAGCTGATCGATGACTCTCTCTCATCGATGTTTCTAACTCTGTATCTCTCTCCCTTTCTCTCTGTACAAAATCAATAAAATATATTAAAAAAAAAAAAAAAAGAATTGTGCCTGCACCCAATCGACAATATCCTATATAATAAAAGGTTAATATGCAAATCAACCGAACTATGACACGCACTGACCACCAGAGATGATGCGCACTGACCCCCAGGGAGCAGATGCTCAATGTAGAAGCTGCCCCCTGGTGGTCAGTGTGCTCCTGAGCCGGGAAGTCTGACTGCCAGCTTAGCCCGCTCCCCGCATCAGACATCCCCTGAGGGCTCTCAGTCTGCAAGAGGGCGCAGGCCAGGCTGAGGGACACCCCCCCTCACCCCCAGGGCATGAATTTCATGCACCGGGCTCCTAGTTTGTTGAATAATGTTAATAATACTCAAGGTCTGTGTTTTGTCCCCACAGGTTGATCCAAAAGACTACATGTTCAGTGGACTGAAGAATGAAACGGTAGGTCGCTTACCTGGGAAGGTGGCAGGACAGCAGTTTCTCATTCAGGACTGTGAGAGCTGTAACATCTATATTTTTGACCACTCGGCCACCATTACCATTGATGACTGCACTAACTGCGTCATTTTTCTGGGACCTGTGAAAGGCAGCGTGTTTTTCCGCAACTGCAGGGACTGCAAGTGCGCTGTAGCCTGCCAACAATTTCGTGTGCGGGACTGCAGAAAGATGGAAGTCTTTCTGTGCTGTGCCTCTCAACCCATTATCGAGTCTTCCACAAATATCAAGTTCGGCTGTTTTCAGTGGTACTACCCCGAATTAGCTTTCCAGTTCAAAGATGCAGGGCTAAGTATCTTCAATAATAACTGGAGTAATATCCATGACTTTACACCTGTGTCCGAAGAAGTCAACTGGAGCCTTCTTCCAGAGAATGCTGTGATCCACGACTACATTCCTCCGCCTACGACCAGTGAGCTCCAAGCTGTGCGCATTTCCACAGAAGCCAATAGAAGTATCGTTCCTGTAACCCAGGGGCAGAGACAGAAGAACAGCGATGAATCGTGCCTAGTGGTATTATTTGCTGGTGATTACACTATCGCAAATGCCATGAAACTAATTGATGAGGTAAGGAGAGAGACAAGAGCGAGGAACATACACCTGGTTAGCAACACACCACTTTCCAGAGAACTTGCATTCTTTTCAACTTGGCTAGTAGAAATCCAGATAATCCTTATGTTGTAATCTTTTGTCCCCTACAGATTTATCTGTAAGCTGAATGTGTAGGCCTCAAAATACTTTCCCAAAGAAAATTTTTAAAACCAGAATTCCATTCAGTAAGCGTTTATTGAGCCCTTATTACATGCGAGTTACTCTTAATCATTCAGTTGAATGTATTTTATTGATTATAGGATGCCCATTTGTTTTTGTACATTTTTGTTATCTGAATTGCCTCTTCCACTTGATGGCAACTTAAGAGCTGTTGAAATATAGTATATGCTCGGGTTGGAGATACATTGATAAAATTATTTTCGCTTAAAGAACTTCCATTCTTTATAATAAATGATTTCCATGGAAGTTCACAAAGTGTAGTATTGCATGGTAAAGCTTGACCTTTTAAAATTATTTAGTGGGGAAATTTACTTGGAGTTTTAATTGGTCAGGAAGTGGGAAAGACATTTGGGAATATAACTTTTGGAGCCTGTTGTGACCATCAGAGCAACCTTTCCATTACTTTCCTTTGTGTCCTTTGCCCTGTGGCCATGAAGGAGAGATTGGTGCAGGAGAGTGAGGTGGGAGCTGGGATAGCAGAGGTCCTGGGCTCATGGACAGGGGCTTTGGTGAGTTTGTGAATGGAGAAAGGTTCTTGGGTAGCAGCTTCCACATGAAATATAACTGGGGCTGAAGAAGGGAGGGGCTCCAGCAGTATGTCTGATCATCCATTAATCAGACATTCTTCAGGAGGAGTCTGTTTGAGTTTTAAAAGTCAAACTTCCAGGAAAAGAGAAGTGAATGGAAATCTAAGCAAATCTCTTTTGATTAGACTTTTCAAAGAGTTGTAGCGGTTATGTTAAGAAGAACAATTTTAGAGGGGGTGGGGAAACACTAATAATGGCTACCTTTTGTAGATATACAATGTACAATGTATCAATAGAAAACTCATATCTGAAATCTACAAAGTATATCTGAGGTCTAGTTTTCAAAACAACAGAAGCCAGAGTATAATTTTAAGACTTTGATATTTCATTTTTTATTATACCAATCTAATGAAAACATACTATGAATCTGGTAAGATATAGAAATATAGAGAAATATAAGAAATAAGTTTAAAAATCACCATGTACTGTACTTTGAATAGTCTTTTTAAGAATATTTTTTATTTAGTCTATAATCAGATTAACTGGTTTTTAAATATATATGTGTTGTTATTGTTGACAATATTATAGATGTCCCACATTTTCCCCTGCTTTACCTCCCTCCACCAGCCCGTATAACCCCCCTCCAGGCCTTCACCACACTATTATTTGTGTCCATGGACTATGCATATAAGTATATAAGTTCTTTGCTTAACCTCTTCCCGCTCCCCACTCCCCCAGATGTGTCAGTCTGCTCCATGCCTCAGGACTTATTTTGTGGGTCAATTTATTTTGTTCATTAGCTGCCACAAATAAGTGATATCATGGGATATTTGTCTTTCTCTGATGGCTTATTTCACTTAGCACAATAAACTCCGGGTCCATCCATACTGTCACAAAGAATAAGAGATTCTTCTTTAATACAGCTGCATAGTATTTGAGTGATTTTTAAATATGTTTTTATTGAGTTCAGAGAGAAGGAGGGAGAGGGGGAGAGGGAAACATCAATGATGAGAGAGAATCATTGATCGGCGCCTTCTGCCTGCCCGCTACTGGGGATTGAGCCTGCAACCTGGGCATGTGCCTTGACTAGGAATTAAACCTTGGCCTCCTAGTTTATGAGCCAATGCTCAACTACTGAGCCACACCAGCTTGGCTCAATTAATTGAGTTTTAATCATAACTCTGTTACTTAATAGTTGTGTGATCTTGGATAGGTTTCTTAACCACTCTGTGCCTTAGTTTTCTTATCTGTAAAATGAGGATAATAATAGTACCTAAAGTGAATAAAATGCCTGATACAGAGTAAGTACTCCATAAATATAATCTATCATTATTGTGCTATACTCTATACATTTGCATCATGTTTTTAAAAATTAACATTATTATATATGCTTTCCCCTTTTTATTATTTGTTATGTTTAATGAACTATGGTATTTTATCATGTCAATATACCATAATTTACTTAACCATTCTCCTTTCATCATCGCAAAACTAAGGTTTCCATCTATTCATTTCAGTCAAAAAAATTTTAATTATATTTAAAATTTTGAGGGATCATTCACATTTGTTTGCTCCTTAATCTTAGCAGTAGGCATGGGGTATCAGTTCTTAAGCAGAACCAGCCATCTTGAAGTAGGAATATTGTATATGTGAAAACCTGTTCTAGCAAACACCCTAAATGAGAGTTATACCTAAAACAAAACTCAGCACGCTGTGTCATGTTTTATACAGAACTGTACTAGGAAATATTGTTTTCATCTCAGAAGGTCATTTTAAAATCTAAGTGAAATTCTCTTTTCCACAGATGATTCATTTAGGGTTTTTCCTGATTCAGACAAAGGAAGTATCCATGAAAGCGGAGGATGCTCAGAGGGTTTTTCAGGAAAGAGCACCTGAATTCCTTCAACTTCTGGACAAAGGTACCTTCTGGCTGATGGGTGCACTTTTGTGCTTATCCTCTTGAGATGTGATTTGGTTTACTTGGACCTTTAGCTTTTCTCTTGCATTGCCTTCTCTTTCTCACTTGTTTTGTGTTTTTTCCTGCTACGATTCAGGAATGTCAAAATTTCACATCATTCAAAAAAAAAACCTATATGACAATTAGAAATCAGACATTAATTTTTTTTCCTATTCCCCTTAGTTCTGGAAAATCACATTTATTATGTCTTTTATTATTTTATTATTGTATTATTATATTGTCCAGAATTACAAAGCATTTGATAAGGATTCTTTCTGCCTTCAGTGTGCTTTGACCATACGTGAAAAGTAAGAAATATAAAATGGTATAGTATTTTATGTAGTTGATATGATTAACTTCCCATGCAAAAATAGGATTGTTTTCCCCAGCGGGCAAATGCTACCAATACATTCCAGATATTGAAAATATGTCTGCAAACAGGACCTAGAGCTAGAGTGCCCTTCTGAAGCGTTGCTGTGTGCCTACATGTGTCGAAGATGCTGCTTCTGGAGGACAGAGTACTCTTTTTCTTTGAGATGGGAACATCGTTTGCTTAAGGCCCTTACGTATGACGATAGTATTGTGTTATCTAGGCGATGTATGCTAATGTGTTGTGATATCTGCTATTTTCAAATGGCTCAGCAAAATACAATCAAAGTGTGTGTGCGCATGCACATGTAGTATATGATAAAGCAAATCAATATGTAACTTCATTGTATGTGTGTCTGTTTGAAGACACCTTTTTATAATAGTATGTATTATTGACTCATTATCATTGAATTTAGAGCCAACAGCGCTATAATTCAGGCCTGAATGAAGCTTCCCTAACAGCTATTTCGTCTGTAAGACATACACAGTCTTTCTAAGCTTAGGGACATTATACAGCACTTCAGCACTATTATTTGTGGGCCATTTAAAATAGCCAAATCACAGCAAAACGAACAAAGTGTGGAAGATGTGGCACTAAATAGACTATGAAAAGGACACTTGTTTACAGAATGATGCTAGAATAAGAAGGCAGAGCATCACTTTCATTTTCACCTGGGATCATGCATGTCAGGCAACTTTTTTTTTTTGCCACTCTGTGTGTGTCCACAAATGACCGTGAAAAAAAAAAACTATAAATATTGACTTTAGGGTTACAAATTAATTTTTCCAGGTAAGCAGATTCACAAATAAAGAATTCACAAATAATGAGGATCAATTGTATATGTATTTCCTGTTAAACATTTTCCTTTAAGCATCCTGCAAATTTTGATAGGATGTATTTTCATTTAATTCAGGGTTTGGCAAAATATGGCCTCCTGTATGTTTCATAAATGAAGTTTTATTTGAAGCACAGCCACACTCATTATTTTATCTACTAGAGGCCCGATGCACGAAATTCATGCACCCGTGAGGGGAGGGGGTCCCTCAGCCCGGCCTGTGCCCTCTCACAGCCCAGGATCCCTCAAGGGATGCCCAACTGCCAAGGAGGCAAGAGAGGCTCGCGCCACCAATGCTGCGCTTGCCAGCTGTGAGCCCAGCTTCTGGCTGAGCAGTGCTCCCCCTGAAGGAGTGCACTGACCACCAGGGGGCAGTTCCTGCATTGAGCATCTGCAGTTCACATCATAGCAACCAGTCATTCACTGTTCAGTCGATTTGCATATTAGGGTTTTATTATATAGGATTGTTTTGTTGATTTCCTACCTGATCCTTTATAGAAAAAGTATATTGACCCCCTTCTTCCCGATGTAGTTCAGAATATTTTTTAGTTTCCCTTAAGACTTTTCACTTAATCCATGGATTATTTAGAAGTATATTGTTTAATTTCTAAACATTTGTCCAGATGTGTTTCTGTAATAGATTTGTAGATTAATGTTATTATGATCTGAAAATGCACATTGTATAACTTTTATTTTCTTAAGGTTTATTTTGTGGTACAGATTATAATGTATCTTGGCAAATATTCTATATACATGGTGAGAATATATGATCTGCTTCTGTTTGGTAAAATGTTCTATAGAGACCCACTAGGTCAATTTGGTTGATAGTGCTATTCAGGTCATCTACACTGAGTGGCCAGATTATTATGATCTCTGAACGCATATAATATATATATATATATATATATATATATATATATATATATATATATATATATATATATATTAGAGGCCTGGTGCATGAATTCGTGCATGGATGGGGTCGGGCCAGCCTGGCCAGGGGGAGGGGACATGGGCAGTTGGCCGGCCTGCCTGCTGGTCAAACTCCTGGTCAAGGGGACAATTTGCATATTAGCCTTTTATTATATAGGATATACACTGAGTGGCCATAGTATTATGTATTCAGAAATCATCATCATCTGGCCACTCAGTGTATATCCTTACTGATTTTCTGCTTACTTGTTCTGTGGATTAAAGAGAGAGGAATGTCAAACTCTCCAACTATCATTGTGTAATTGTCCATTTCTCTTTTCAGATCCTATCAGGTTTTGCTGTGAGTCTTTGTTGTTAGATGCATACACATTTAAGATTGTTATGTCTTCTTGCAGAGTCCTTTATGATTATGTAATGTCCCTTTTTGTCTCTGATAATCTTCCTTGTCTGAAATCTACTTTGCCTGATATATAGCTACTCCAACTTTTGTTTGGTTGTTAGTGTTTCATCATATACTAGAGGCCCGGTGCACAATCCCCCAAGCTGAGCGATCAGGCTAAAACCAGCTCTCTGACATCCCCCCTGGATTGCCCCCTCAGAGACCCCACTGGTGCATGATCGGGGCCGGGGAGAGACATAGGAGGTTGGCCAGCCAGGGAGGGACCACAGGAGGGCTCCAGGGTGAGTCCAGCCTGTCTTGTTCAGTCCCAATTGCCCAGACCCCAGCAGCAAGCTAACCTATCCGTTGGAGCATCTGTCCCCTGGTGGTCTGTACATGTCATAGCAACTGGTCGACTGATCAGCTGTCTCCTCGTGGTGGTCAGTGCATACCATAGCGAGCATTTGATCAACCTTAGCATATCATTAGCATATTATACTTTGATTGGTTGAACAGACAACTGGACATTTAGCATATTAGGCTTTTATTATATAGGATCTTTATCCCTTTTTAAAATATATATATATATTTCTTTATTGATTTCAGAGAGGAAGGGAGAAGGAGAGGCAGAAACATCATTGATGATAGAGAACTATCGATCAGCTGCTTCTTGCATGCCTCCTACTGGGGATTGAGCCCACAACCCAGGCATGTGCAAACCTGGGACCCTTCAGTCTGCAAGCTGACGCTCTATCCACTGAGCCAAACTGGCTAGGACTATCCCTTTTCTTTTAACTTATCGAAGTCTATATATCCAAAGGGAATTTTTTGTAGACAGCATATAGTTGGTTCTTGCTTTTTAATCCTTTCTGACAATCTCTATCTTTTAACTGGTGTATGTAGACCATTCACATTGAAAGGGATTGATATAGTTGGATTGACATCTACCATCTTGCTAGCTGCTTTCTGTTCCATTTGTTCTGTGTTTTCTTTTTACCTCTTTTTGTTTAACTGGCCATTTTTTTGTAACTCCATTCTATCTCCTCTACTGATTTATTGTTTATATCTTTTATATAATGGTTGCCTTCGGTTTTACAATATACATATTTGAGTCCACCTTATAGTAATATTATACCACTTCACCTACAATATATAAGGTCCTAATAACATTATATACTCAAATCTTTCCTCCCATCCCTGTATCATTATTACATATCTTACTAGTGCATATGCTACAAATATCTAATACACCGTTAATGTTATTTAAACTGTCAGTTATTTTAAAATGAATTAAAAATAATAAAAATGTGGATAATATTTTACTGGAGGCTTTTGAGCAGAAGAATGTCATGGTCCCTTTAAAATGTAACTCTTATCATTCTGCTCGCTCTAAGGAGGGAGCAGGGAGCCATCTGGAGGCCGTTGCTGTAATCTAATTGAGACGTGGTAGTGGCTTGTTCCAAGGTCACGTTAGATTACACAGAAGAGTCTATTAGCTAGGGCATTCAGAAATCTTTTTTGTTTACTTCAATGTCACACAATCTTTTTGACAGTTCAAATATTTAGATTCCAAGCTTCTGCGAACTATTTGACAAGCCGTTCACATTAAAACACTAAAAGCATGACTAATGGTCCCTGTTGACCTCATAGTTCAGTTTGAAATAAACAGTGTAATTGCAGTCATCATTATTAGCTAGAAAGACAAATAGGACTTCTTAAAAAGTACATTGTCAGTGTTGTAGTTTTTTTAGTTTAGGATTGTCCATACATATTCATCAAAATGGATGCACTTGTCTACCTTTTTTGATAGTGAGTTTGTTGACAAATTATTAGGTCGCTTAACAGAAGCTCATAATATCCTATTCAAAAAATATCAACCAAGTTTTACTCTTGGATAATTCTACCAAAATTGGATTTTGGAATTCTGGATTATGTTGTACTATCTCTTCAGAAATACAGAGTACAATGCCTCATGTGAAGCCATCCTGTTTTACCAACTTTTTGCCATTCTTTTTTTAAAATATATTTTATTGATTTTTTTCACAGAGAGGAAAGGAGAGGGATAGAGAATCAGAAACATCGATCAGCTGCCTCCTGCACACACCCCACTGGGGATGTGCCCACAACCAAGGTACATGCCCTTGACCGGAATCGAACCTGGGACCCCCCAGAGTCCGCAGGCTGACGCTTTATCCACTGAGCCAAACCAGCCAGGACTCAACTTTTTGCCATTCTTAAAAAAATAATTTATATCCTACTTTTTTGCTAAAAGATTTTAATCAAATTTTAATGTCTTGTCATTTCACCCCTACATATTAGTGTGTGTCTTCTTAAACAAAACAAAATTAAAAACAGATGTTTTCTTAAGTAATCACAATATATTATGACATCAATCATGATTAACAATTCCTTAATATCATCTAATAACCAGACCATATCCAAATTTCCTTAATTGTCCAAAAGCATTCTTTATGTATTCTTAAATATACTTTTATTAATTTCAGAGAGAGAGAGAGAGAGAGAGAGAGAGAGAGAGAGAGAGAGAGAGAGAGAGAGAGAGAACATCAATGATGAGAGAGAATCATTGATTAGCTGTCTCCTGCACAGCCCCTACTGGGGATCAAGCCCCCAACCCAGGCATGTACCCTAAGAATCAAACTGTTACCTCCTGGTTCATAGGTCAACGCACAACCACTGAGCCATGTCGACTGGGTTCTTTATGTATTTTTATAGTTAATGTGATCCAGATTTAAAATTGTCCCACTAGCCGAAACCGGTTTGGCTCAGTGGTAGAGCGTTGGTCTGCGGACTGAAAGGTCCCAGGCTCGATTCCGGTCAAGGGCATGTACCCGAGTTGCAGGCACATCCCCTGTAGGGGGTGTGCAAGAGGCAGCTGGTCGATGTTTCTCTCTCATTGACGTTACTAGCTCTCTATCTCTCTCCCTTCCTCTCTGTAAAAAATCAATAAAATATATTTAAAATTGTCCCACTATGTCATTTTTTTGAATCTCTCTTAACAAGAAACAGGTGTCTCCCCCCCCCCCTTTTTTTTTTTTTTTTTTTTTTGTCTTATAAAAGAAACCTGGTCAAGGGTTTGTTTAATTTGTTCCTCTATAGTTCTTGTAGGCTCTAAGTTAGATCAAAGCCTTGTTTATACTCACATTTAGGGGTTCTTTTGGGCAAGAATATTTCACAGGTGGTACTGTTTCCTATATCATTACATGAGAGGGCACATAGCTTGATTATTGCATGTTTAGTGATAGTAGAATTGATTAAGTTCAGCTAGTGACAAGCTTCCTCTTGAAGTTTCTTATCACTCTTCCCTGTCAGATGCTAAAAACATTGATGATTGTTGCCTGATTAAATTATTTTACTAGGAGTTGCAAAATGATCATTTTCTAATCATGTCACTTCCTCTATATTTAATAATGGACGTTAACAGAACTTCTTGTACAACAGAACTGTTTGGTTAATTTGAAACATGCTTCACATCAGAAAAGCAGAATAAATAAAGGGAAAATAATTAAGCATCAGTTTTCAAAGTAATAACTTGGTGCCCTAGCAACTTAGTAGTATCCAGTGAATTTTCTTTGTTTCTCTCTTTTCTAATATCATTAGTAGCTCATGAATTTTTATATATTCAGTATGTTTTCATAAATTGCAGTCATTATTCCTTCTGATCTCACTGAGGCTCACCTTCAGCCATTGGGAGCTCCTTCAAGCTGGCTCCTGTGTCCTCTTTTTTTAAAATTTCTTTATTGATTATAGTATCACATAATTGTCCTCATCCCCCCATTTCCATCCCAAAACCCTCCCCACGCATGTCCCCAGCCCCCTGTTGTCCCTGACCACTGGCTAGGCCCATATGCATGCACACAAGTCCTTTGGTTGATCTCTCCCCCTTACCCCCACCCTCCCCTGCCTTTCCTCTGAGGTTTGACAGTCTGATTGATGCTTCCCTGTCTCCGGATCTGTTCTTGTTCATCAGTCTATGTTGTTCATTTCTCCTAGATGTGTGAGATCATGTGATACAAGGAATACACTTATAAGAACCCAAAATGAGACAAGCCATAATGGTTATGCTGAGAGGCAAATGAATCCATCTGTAGTGAGTTTTCCTGTGTCCTCTTGATACAACCCCATTGGCCTTTGATAGTTTCATCGCTCTTGACTCAACAAGATATTCCCAGTTGATCTTACCCATTTCTTGCCTCAGACATAGAATTGTCCATTTTTCTGAGTTACCTTTTTTTCTTTACTCAGCACCTGTCTTGATCTACACTCTGTGATGCTGAAAACCCACACTTTAATTTGTTCTCTGTATCTAATTGTATAGTTGACTATCAATATAGCCTACCTTTTCTGTATTTTTGCCTATATTAAATCCCACGTCCTCAGTTATTTTAGTTATTTAGTTGGATATTTTCCTCATTCATGTACCTTGCCCTCGTACATTTATGTAAATACCTTAGCATTTCATTACTTAACACTTCATCATTCTCTTTTGTTCTATATTTGTTTAATGGTGTGTGTGTGTGTGTTTCAAGAAATGTGTAATTTCATGGAGGTCAGGACTTCTCCATTACTGTAGGAGATAAAAAGCAAATCTATTAAGAATACAGTGAAGGCTGAATAAATATTAATTGAATTGAAGGGCATATTTTGCTTGGCTGACTCGTGGCCATGTTTGCCAACAGTTTGACACTGGGTAGTGCCGATGCTACATTTAAATCCAGAAATTAAAGTACAGGTGGTTTAAAAGTATATAAATTAATGTATGGGAGAGGAAGCATAAATATTTTCAGAGAATTAAAAAAATGAACGCTTGGTCATTGGATCTAGAATGTAGTTTTAAGGCTCACTCAAGAAATAAACAGTATTTCACATAGTCATTGCTTTTGGTGCCTGGCCTCAATTCCTCCTTGGCTTAGCTTCATTACTGGTGGCCCAGAACTTGGCTGGCAAGTAGGAGAGTTGGAAGCAAGGCTGGCTGCCTGGCAAAACACTCACTTACTTTGACTTGAATTGCTTTTGATCTTTTCTGTCATTTGTCAACTGCTTTTTGTACTCTAAATGGGCGGGCTTTTAATGGTTTTTATAGATGAATGAAAACTAGAAAAGCCAGGCTATTCACAACACTTAAAATGTTGTGAATTCCACCCTGGCTGCTGTGGCTCAATTGATTGGATCATTGTCGTCCTCCCACCAACCAAAAGGTTGCAGGTTTGATTCCCGATCAGGGCACATATCCAAGTTGCAAGTCTGGCTCATATAGGGAGGTAACCAATCAATATTCCTTTCTCTCTCTCTCTCTCTCTCTCTCTCTCTCTCTCTCTCTCTCTCAGGCAACCAATGAATGGATCAATGTTTCTCTCCTCTCTCTCCCTCCCTCCCTTCTTCTCTCCAAAATCAATTTAAAATGTGATAGTCCTATAGTAGCACTGAAGCTACCCATGATGTGATGAGACTCTATGTTAATTCGTACTATAATTAGAGTAGGAAGAAGTAACTTCCTTCTTCCTTTTCTTTTACTTCCAAAGAAGAAGCTAGAGATTCTTCAGGGAAGTACAAAAAGATTAATTTTAGAAGAGATTTGTATTCTTGATAAGACAACACTTCTTCGGTTTGCTTATAGGTCCTGTTATTGCCTTGGAGTTTAATGGAGATCGTGTTGTAGAAGATTGTCAGAATGTTGTCAAGGAGATATTCAAGAGCACCCAGGTACAAGATTTCATTGGCTGTATTTCTTCTTTTTAGCCCCATCCTGAGCTGAGTTCATGACTCAGCACTGCTGCTCTTCTGGCCACTGGCCCTGCCACCCCCTGAAGGCCCCAGATACTTGCTGAGGCCCACATGCCCCTGGCGAGAGGACATCCTGCCTGGGCTGCTTAGGGTGGCTGTCCTGCCAAGCAGGCCCTGACCTCTCCCCTGATACTCCAACCTGCCGGGAGCCTCCGCTAGGGCATGTCCATAGGGTCACGTTCCTGTCCTTTCCCCCCTGCAGTACCAGTTCTCTCTGAAGGCTGTCCTTGTTTGAGCCAGCTCCGCCTCACAAACCCCAGCCTGGACCTAGCACTTTAAAACAATGTACTTTGATCAAAAACAGACATCCCATCCTCAGGATCCCAGAATCCAGGGCTTCTCTTTGTGACCTCGAGGGAGCACGTGTCAGGCAAGGCAGGGACAACCTCAGAGAGACTTTCAGAGTCAGAGAGGATTTCCAGCATCTCCAGCTGCCTTCCAGTCAGTCTCCAGGAAATTGAGCTTCAGGGAGAACCCAAAGCTCGTGTGTGTCATCTCACCTTTCCCAGTGTCCCTCCAAGAAAGACAGTGGTTCCCTGAAATGGCCCCAAGGTGTTCCAAGGTATTCATGACTCCTTCTCAAAGGTTCTCTAAGACCTCCTACCTCTAACAAAAGCCCCTACTAGGCTTCTAGAAACATCCCTCTCCTCCACTCCTAGGGGTGAACCCCAAGACTCTAGAACAACTGCCCTTTTAATCTTGAAAATCACCTCAAGGGCCTAAAGACCTCCCCCAGGAAGTTTCCAGAAAAACAGGGACTTCCATTGCCAACAGTAAGGCTACAGAAATGCCCCCACCTTTGAGGGAACGCCAGCGCTCCCCTCCAACCCATCGTCCAGCGAGATACCCAAGGTTCCAGAAATATCTCTGTCTTCCAAACTTCCCAGTGATCTGAGACCTCCTCATCTCCCAAAGCAAAACCTAGTCATCCAGAGGCCTCTGTGCCTATAAGGAACCCCAGGACTCCAAAGAGGTCCGTACTCTAGAGACAACCTCAGAATCAGCATCCAGCCTACTCCTGCAATATCTCCAGAACCTTAGGATCATTATTTTACAGGGCTCCCAGTGTCCCCTTTAATTTTCCACCTGCCATGGAGATCCCCCCCCCCCTCCCAGAATCCCTTGACTACCCAGAATCAGCCCTAGGCCTTGTGTCTCCCGAAATCACCCCTCCTCCCCTCCTAATTCCCCATTTCACAATAGTCCTGGAGCTACAGACAACTACAGGCACACGTGACTTCCCCACCTCCTAGGCAGGGTTCTGGGACCGCCTAGTATTTGTATTTCAATCAGACCTTTTCATTTCCTTTCCTTTACAATCAAAAGTACTTTTTAGCCCCAGTTTTTCATGGAATTTTTAAAAAGCAGATCATGATTTTTAGAAACTACGATAAATAATTGGAAGCCAAGCTTTGGTTTTTCCTTGCCAAACTAAAATATTAATTGCTAACACACTTATAAGAATGTACTTATTAAAAGCCATCAATAATACTTAAGTTTCTAAAGTGAAAAGTCTTATCAAAAGCGTCTTCAAGTCCTTTTTTTAAAAATAGTGAATGATACATTGAAAAAATGTTATAGAGACGCCGGAGGTGGGCCAGCCAGGAAGCGACATCGATAGGGCTCCAGAGCATGCCTGGCCCATGTCACCCATTCCCAATCCCAGCAGCAAGCTAACCTACAGATCAGTGTGTCTGCCCCCTGGTTGTCAGTGCATATCATAGCGAGCGATTGAGTGGCCTTAGCATATCATTAGCATATTACATTTTGATTGGTTGAATGGCTGACTGGTCGACCAGACAGTTAGCATATTAGGCTTTTATTATATAGGATGAGAGGAAATTTGTGTGTTTTGTAGTCTGATTCAGCTTATGATTCCTTGAATTTACGTAATTTAAATTATTTTATCTTTTACCTCATGTTATCATCACATACTGTTAAGGTTGGGGCAAAAATAATGAGATTGAATAAAAAAAGAAACAGAGAAAATGGTTATATGATTTGTTTTTAGGTCTGAATGAGTTAAAGATGATCGCATCCAACTTTCTCATTTTACAGATGTGGAAACTGAGCCCAGAGAGGTTTAGTAAATTTTCAGCATCCTACAGCTAGTTTATAAAGCTAGAATGGGACTCAGGTCTCTTCTGTTTCCTGGCTGATACTCGTAAAAGCTTTTTTTAAAGGGTTCTATTGAGTACTGCTTTATTGTTATTCAGAAAGTAGTTTATTTTACATTGGTAATGTATCTTTAGCAGCTTTAAAAAAGATAATCTCAAGTTTTGCTTCTCAGCCTATTGAAATTATTTATAGAAAATAGAAAAAAATAAAAGTTCTTTAAATACAACTCTATTCCATAGCTTTCATAATATTGAGTGTTGTATATTTTAAAACAGTAAAATCCCAAGTGAAGTATTATGAAAGCAAAGACCTTAACTACATCATAAGTGCTTTTAAAGGAGCTTAATTTACATTATAGCTACTGAAACTATATTGCATGGATTCCACAGAAAATCTGTGCATTAAATATTATAAATGACGTGCTTGAATTTATTTTCAATAGCAAGCTTATGACTTTGTTCTGTGGAGAACATGGGCTTTGGAATTGGGGGATTACCAGTATTTATGTTTGTTTCTTTTATATTTAAAATAGACGTTTGTATCACAAAACAAGGAGACAGCATCTAGAGATATAGATGGCTTCTACAACTTTGCTGACATACAGATGGGAATGTGAAGTGCACCGTGGAACCAGGGATTTGGTATTAAAGCCATTCTCAGTTTGTATATTACCAACAGCTTTTACTAAGGCTAACATTGTTAAAGTTGACTCTTCAATAAATTATTGAATACTGCATCATATACTTGAGGTTCAAAAATAGCTCATTTAAACTAAGTTGTTGATAGATAGAAACATTGGTTGGCTGCCTCCTGCACGCCCTCTACTGAGGATGTTGCCCACAACCCGGGCATGTACCCTGACCAGGAATCCAACAGTGTTCTCCTGATTCATAGATCAGTGCTCAACCACTGAGCCACACAGGCCGGGCTTAAATGAAGTAATCCACTAACCCACTTCATTAAACTTGCAGTTTTGATTCTCTGCATATGATACTGTTATTAGAAAATAGAAGTGGCTAACAGTTCATGGTTTTAATCCTAGTTAAATGTTCTTTCAAATCTCGAATAATTTAAACTTTCCTCAGTGTTCCATGATATTTGTTTGAGAATGCATTCCATTGCTTACTTCCTTTTTTAATTTAGAGGGCTTTGTTATTAGTTGATCAATTAGAATGAACCTATGTGCATTTTTTCATGTAGACATATCCAGTTAAAGAATTGCTTCCTAGTTGCTTAATATGGCAAATGAGAGCCTGTATACAGACTTGACAGAATCATAAATTGAATGTTTAAATTAGTAGGTATTTGATAACTGGTTTTGCAAGTGACTCTACTAACTGATGTTGGTAAAGCTGTTTTAAAGACTACTTTGTAAGTAGTATGATTATTTGAATAATTTCCACCCTGTTCAGTTTTTTACTATAACTGCTAGATGACTCTTCTGCCTTCTGGTAAGAAAAGATATATGCAACACTCAGACTGTAGAAGCCCAATGACCAGCAGTTTTCAAAACGATGATTACTGTTTTATTAGCTCTTGTGATATATTAGTAGAATCGGAATAAAGCCTTGTAATATTCAGGTAAGACATACGTAGGCATAAGAAAAAGACATACGTAGGCTTGATGATAAGCTATGTAGATTAAAAAGCTAGATAAATTTGATTTTCATTAAATATGCCACTCATGGCAAGTAATGTTCAAGCATGGTAAAGATTACTTGGTTGCTTTAAAGCATTATTCTCCAAATCAACCTACCATCATAATTTGCCAGGAGGCAGGGGATACTTGTTGAAAAGCCCAATTGTTGGAACCAATCCCCAGATGCACCGATTCAGTCTCCAGAGGAGACTCTGTTTTCAGGGGTTTGTTGTAATTTGAGGTAATCAGTTCAGAAGATGTTGGGAGGTTGATCTTGTATAGAGTGACAGAACCTACCATCCACATTTCATATAGCAGCTAGTAGGAAATAAGCTTTCATAGGTCTATTTTTTCAAAAGAACCTTACATTTAATTCTATTTTGATAAAACTAAAACTGAAAATAGCCACTTGTAAAAATTCCTCTTATTGTTACTGAAAATGTATTTTCATGTTTAAACTGGTTGTTTTTTTTATATATTTTCATATTAATTTATAACTGTTACATTGAATTGTGTATCGATGTCCAGGAATAATACATTAAAAGGCTTTTCACTTTAAATTAGTAATATTGAGCACTTACCCTGGGCCTGGCCTTGCGCTAACATTATCATTGCAATATTTCAATCTTTTTCTTAAATTTATCTTTATTTTTGAAAGTATTACAAATGTCCCCTTTTATCCACCCCCCCTTGAATCCTCCCAGGCCTACAGTAATATTGTCTGTGTCTGAGGGTTATGCATATGTGTATATAAGTTCTTTGGTTAATCTCTACCCATCCAGCCCTCCCCACTTCCCCCTGAGATTCATCAGTCTTCCATGCCTCCAGGTGTCTGGATCTATTTTGTTTGTCAGTTTATTTTGTTCATTATATTCCACATATAAGTGAGGTCAAGTGATACTTGTCTGGCTAGCTTATTTCACTTAGCATAATACCCTTCAGGTCCTTCCATGCTGTCTCAAAGGGTAAGAGACCCTTCTTTTTACAGCTGCATAGCATTCCATGGTGTAGATGTACCACAGCTTTTTTATCCAGTCATCTACTGAGAGGCACTTGGGCTGTTTCCAGATCTTAGCTATTGTAAATTGTGCTGCTATGAACATAGGAATGCATACATTCTTTCTGGTTGGTGTTTCGGGATTCTGGGTCAAATGCAGTTCTATTTTTAATTTTTTGGGAAACTACTTACTATTTTCCATAGAGGCTGCACCAGTCTGTATTACCACCAGCAGTGTACTAGGGTTCCCTTTCCTTCACATCTTGGCCAGCACTTGTTTGTTGATTTATTGATGATAGCCGTTTTGGTAAGTGTGAGGCAATACCTCATTGTTGTTTTAATTTGCATCTCTCTGATGGTTAGTGTCTATTTAGGTCCTTTGCCCATTTTTTAATTGGATTGTTTGTCTTCCTTTGTTAAGTTGTACGAGTTCCTTATATTTTTTGGAAATTAAGCCCTTATTGGACATATCATTGGCAAATAGGTTCTCCCATGCAGTGGGCTCCCTTTTTGTTTTGTTGATGGTTTCTTTTGCTGTGCAGAAGCTTTTTATTTTGATGTAGTCCCTTTTATTTTCTCCTTTGTTCCCTTGCCCTAGGAGATGTATCGGCAAATACATTGCTACAAGAGGTGTCTGAGATTTGGCTGCCTATGATTTCTTCTGGGATTTTTATGGTTTCACTACTTACATTTAAGTCTTTTATCCATTTTGAGTTTACTCTTGTGTATGGTGTAAGTTGGTGATCTAGTTTCTTTTTTTTTTTTTTTTTTTTTTTTTTGCATGTACCTGTCCAGTTATCCCAACACCATTTATGGAAGAGACTGTCTGGACTCCATTGTATGCTCTTGCCTCCTTGGTCAAATATGAACTGAGCATAATGGCTTGGGTCAATTTCTGGCTTCTCTGTTCTGTTCCATTGATTTATATGCCTGTTGTTATGGCAGTACCAGGCTGTTTTGATTACAATGGCTTTATAGTATAATTTGATATCCAGTATTGTGATCATTTCTACTTTTTTTTTCTCTCAAGATTGCTGCAGCTATTCTGAGTCTTTTTTTGTCCCATATAAATTTTTGGAGTATTTGTTCTAGATCTGTGAAATATGCCATTGGAATTTTAATAGGGATTGCATTGTATCTGTAGATTGCTTTGAGTAGTTTGCACATTTTATTGATGTTAATCCTTCCAAATCATGAACATGCTATATTCTTCCATTTGTTTTTCTTCCTCTATTTCTTTTCCCAATGTCCTGTAGTTTTCCAAGTACAGGTCTTTTACCTCTTTGGTTAAGTTATTCCTAAGTATCTCAGTTTTTTTGTTACAGTAGTAAATGGGATTGTGTTTTTAATTTCTCTTTTTGAGTATTCATTATTGATGTATAAAAATGCCATTGATTTCTGGATGTTAATTTTGTGTCCTGCTACTTTACAGGACTCATTTATTAAATCTAGTAGGATTTTTTTGGTTGAGTCTTTAGGGTTTTGTATGTACAATGTCATGTCATCTGTGAATAGTGACAGTTTCACTTCCTCCTATTAATCTTTCTAAATAGCATTCTACATATACTACATAATCAACCTCTCCTTTAGATCAGAACAGTTTCATAAGATGCAAATAAAAATTGGTGTCAGGTTTAATATAATTTTGATCATAATTTACAGATGAGCTTTGCAAGTAGAGGTCAGAGGGCATTAATTTTTTCCATAGTTAAGCTAAAATAAACATGTTCCTTCTAGTCATGATTACATTATTAAACCCCATTACTCACACTTACGGTACTTTTTGTTTTCAAAAATATAATACAATTGTATGCAAAGCTGTAAATTAAGCTCTTTGTTTTATCTATGGTATTTTGGCAAAACTCAGGAATATAACAAAAAAGGAAGATGTTGATTTTAAATTTCTACTAAATTTAGTATCTGTTAACCAAAGCTTAAATTTTTATATTCTTCAGTTAAAGAAGAGCTTCTACTCAAGTCTAATTTGTATTTAAGGACAGTCATTTGTCTTCCAAATATTTGAAAATATTTTTTAAAATAAGTAGTGTTACGGTTGTTATTTCTATAATTCTAAACTTTGATAGCAATTATAGTATACTACATTTCCTTTCTGGATGGCTTTTGAATTTATGAAAAATGAGTACTTTTTTAAGTTATAAATGTGTAAACATTGTATTACCTTACCTCTGTTGTGTTGATAGCACTGCTTATGTTTTAGCACTGTTTTTTGCTTCTGTATATTTATGTGTAGCTTTTATATATAGTTTACCTACTGTTTATAAAATTTGATTTATAATAAATGTTGTTAAAATGAAAATGGCTAACCACTTATTTTTAAGAGCACTTCTATAACAAACACTTTCTCCTATATGTGCCAAAATTTGATCATGACGCAAATTTTTAATGATAAAAGTAGAATAAAATTTTCTAGTCTCTGTCTCATGTTCATGTATGTGTACACACAAAGCACTCTGGGAAAATGCAGAGGAAGTAGAAAACCTGTTTTAATCTAAGGAATTTCCAATATAAGGCTTCCATTGTTAAAAGATACATTTTTATGATGAATACTTCCTAAGATTAGACATCTTTCTTTTCTATATTTAAGAAAATAGTAAATTATTTCTAACATAACTTTCTTTTTTAAAGTATTGTGTGTTCACCACCCCAAGTCAGGTCTCATTCCATCACCATTTATCTCCCTGTACCCTCTTCTACCTCCTCTGTGATAGACTTTACCCAATTACCAGACTTTTGTACACTTCTCCCTTTCCTAGCCCATAAATCAGAAGTACTGAAACTGCAGATTGGTTAAATGCTATTTTAAATGCTATTTTAAAATAGCATTTATCATCGTCATTTCTGTCTAAAGCTTCTACATTTGGGGAAGAAAAGAAATGTACACACAATAACTAAAAACACTTCATATTTGTTGGATAATTCTTGCTGGGCTGGGCTTAAAATTTACTATTATTTAAAAGGA